TTGCACAGTTACCAAAAAGGCTGTCTTCTGATCCAGGGAAGTGATAATACATGGAGGATTCCATATGCAAAAGCCATCTATTTCCTAAAGAGAAGCAAGATTTTGAGAGAAGGCACTCATTATCAGAAGACAAGTCTGGCCAGAGTAAGTCTAGCAGAGAGTGACTCATGGTTGCCAGTCAGTAGATATGGAAATTACTTGTTCATGAACTGCTCAAATGTCCCTAACTTAACAGCCAGAGGCAATACAAAGCTGTGCAAAAACACCAATCCAGCTGCAAATGTGTCAGTTTTCTGAAACAAGGAAGAAAAAAAATCCTACCATGTATTTCACATTGCGTGTACATAGAATTATACAATGGTTTGGGTTGGAAGGGACCTCAAAGATCATCTAGCTCCAACCCTCCTGCCATGGGCAGGGACACCTTCCACTAGATCAGGTTGCTCACAGTCCCATCCAGCCTGGCCTTGGACACTTCCAGGGATGGGGCAGCCACAACTTCCCTGGGCAACAATGATAAATTGGAAAGCAATGGTTTAATCAGTTATGCTACCTCCAAAGTTTAACAAGGTTTTTGGATGGTTTTTTTTAATATATATACATTTCATGTGTTTATATACATACACACACGTATATAAAATGCACTACTGTCCATTTTAATTTAATGGAGTAATACAGAGAGTCTCTGTTTCTGTTAGGATTTTGCTCCCTTTTAAACCAGTTCCCTCAATAATAACTTCCAGTGAGAACTTAAAAAAACCCCAAAAGCACAGGAACTTCCAATCATTGGATTTTAGAGGTACATTGCAGCCATTTTAATTACTTTCACCATGCTCAGAAGTAGCAAATAGAGACTAAGAACAAAGGCAGTATTGGCACTGCATTATGCCATAACACCATTGTTTTAGTTGCTTTATCCGAGAGTAAATAAAGGCATCAAAAGTAGCTTTTTCTAATTTCCAGCCGTGCTATCACTTTTCCTTTTACAGTGCCAAGCACATTACTGAAACCTGCCAGGTACTTCATTACTGAAATAACCCAACCTCTCTTCCTACGTAGCTAAACAATGATATGGAAGAACAGAATGCAGAGCTCCTTAGAACACTCTCCTGAGGTTCTCAGCCTTAAACCAATTCCCTACTCATAGTCATCATTACCAATTTTGTAATACTGCATTAATTCACAACAAATAAGAGCATGGCACTCATATTGCTTTGGCTGTCCAACAAGCCTTTTCCTAAACAGGTGATTGTAAACTTGGCTCTTTTCCACAATTTCCCTGGAGGATGGTATTGTAGGATCTATGGGCTCTTCAACTTAAATTTGTGCCTTACAAAGTAACACACATCGATATGTACTGGCCCAAACCTGATCTTTTCCAATGGAAAATCTAGAAAGACAAAGTGCCTTACCTGGTGATTACCTCATCCACTGCCACCCCTGGCTGGAGGGACTGGAAGCATATGCTTTATTTGATTTCATCTCTCAGAACTGCCCTTGAAATACCTCTAACAAAAATAGCCCCTTGCCAGACAACCCTTCAGAACAGCATCTGCTATTAGAAGTGAAGGCACAGCTCTCACCACACCACCAGTTCTCAAAGTTATCTCACTAAAAGCATGAGACTCACAAACTAGGTACAAGACTGAAGTTTCTTGTGTGCAGCCTTTCAGAAGAGGAAAGAAACTGCCAAAAGTTGTCTCTCATTCCCACTGTTAGAGCCAGATGTTGGGGTCCCAGCAAGAAAGGGTGAGACCAAGTCACAGAGCCCATTAGCAAGTATGAGCTGCCTTGGTGTGTGCTTGGGAACAGGCACAGTTCTGTACTAGTCACAATTCAGACACTACCACTTTCCCCAAAAATATAGCAGCAGCAACATTTATTCCCCCAAATGTTATAAATAAATATAAAAACACAAACAGCAATATAATAAATAACAAAAATTAAAATAAAATTCACACAATTACTCTATATCACATTCTTCAATGGGAAGTGCAAGTGTGGTATAGGAGTACTTTAAAATTTATTGTCTGGAACAACTTGAGGCATGGTGAAGTAGAATGGTAAGAGGGAACCAAGTGAAAAAAGTATGATAAAGGCAGCAAGACAAAGTGGAAGAACATTCCACTGGCTGGAGATATACTAAGGATGCAGCATTACAACTCCTATTTCAGGAAACCCAGTATACAATAAAACAGCTCCTGCAAGAATGCCTTGGGCTACTCAGCAGCAACTAATAACTATTGGGCAACAGGCCTCTATTTAAAAGAAATGCTAGTAAATTATTTGCATAGCTGTGTGCAGCCAGAGCTGCCAACAATCACAAACTCCACTTTACAAATGAAGTTCAATTATAAATAATATACTAAGGAACCATGCATGCTACATTATAAGGGATTTTCCAAACACTTGCAACTGGCAGGGCTACTGGCAGATTTTCTATTTCTGAAAGAAGGAAACATAAGATGCCTATCCCAACGTCCCAAAAAAGCAAAAAATCTTGTATATCTATAAAGTATAAGATTTAATCATTAGGAAGTTAAATCTTTTAATTTCAAAGAAACACTGGTTTATTAGGTAATTGCACAGTAGATACAGAAAGATACTACCCTAACAAGGGCCACAGGCACTAGGAAACTACCTTTAAAACTTTTTAAATATCTGGCAATCAATCATCAGTCACATTTTCTTTCCTGGGCTCAGGAGAAAGAGCCTTATCCTTTCAAATCATTTATGTATTTTAAACAAAAAAATTGAAAAAGTAAAATATTAAGACTCAAATGACACTTTTATGTGCTGAATTCAAGGTGCTGAATGAAGAGATATGAGCCGTAAGTTTGTTTATCACTTAGCAGAAGAAATACTCCCACATTACATTATAGCTACGAAGTGTTTCAACATGATCTGAAGCAAGTTCAATCCTTGTTTTTTCCCCTGTTATGGTATATTATGTTTCTCAGACAGACTCTTTCCAAAATGCAATATGTAAGCATCATTGAACTGTTAGCAAGTAGCATTATTACTTCACTTCCAGCCCACCAAAGAGTAATCCTTTCCCATCTACTTTCTCCATCTTCTCTGATCAGTCCTACAGACCTGAATCCTTGAACAAGCCACTGTCTTCTCTCCCCTCTCAGGCTAAACTTGAAGTGCTTCTAGCACTTGTTGTTATAGAATACAATTATTTTAATAGAAGAACTAGAATACATACCAACCTCCCTCTTCTCTTGCTCCTCCCCACCAATATGTTGCAAAATTGTGGGAAGGGAAGAGAAGATAGTGATACATTCCTTCCATCTGGATCATTTTTCAGATCCAACTCACCACAAACACTAATGGCAATGCAGGAGTCTGAATGGCACATGCTTAACACTAGGTCAGTTTATACCAAAGGCAGAGCTACAACTTCTTTTGGCTTCCAAAAACCTAAAGGGACAGTCAGAAATTATTTCTGTTCCAGGAACGATAGTGAAATGTCAGCATTTGCCTTTCATGAGCAATATTCTCTATTAGGGCTGTGCATTTCTAGAGCTAACCAGCAAGTACCTACACCAGGCTTAACTAAAAACATTGAAGTTCTCACCTGCAATTAGGGACAGCTTTGTCTGGAGAGAATGCAAATTTAGCTGCCCTTACATGCAAACTTGAAAATAAGATGAAAGATTAATAGGTATATGCACAAATCTCACCAAAAAAAGTACTTCAAAATTGTTATCACTGGACTCCGCTTGAGTCCTCACCACTACAAACTATTTGTAAAGAGCTTGAGTCCAACACCTGCAAAGAAATTACAATGAATATTTTGATTTTCTTTCAGCTTGTTGGGGTTTTTTTTAATTAGGGAGTTTCTTTCATATGATGAAGAAGCCCACAGGCTTACAAATACCTTTTTTAATTATATTACAATCATCACAATCTCATTACAGAGAAAAAAAGCAGCAGCAGCACTTGTAACAGTCACTTGCTTCTATCTCCTATACTTCTATACTTCCCAACTTAAAAAAAGTTTGCCATGGTGACTTTTACCTATATTAAAACTTCCGGGGGGAAAAAAAAAAGGTCCAATTCTTTTTTTCACCTAGAAACATGCTCCAATTTCACATTACATGCATGATAGTTTAACTTGTTGAACTGAAATTAAGCCCTGCAACTGTTCAGTACAGAACTTGGAATTGCTCATTTGTGAAGAAATCGCAAAAACAACTTTCTATCAGAAACTATGGTTGAACATTATTAGCACTGCTGATAAGACTGCACAATTATTTTATTTGCCACCAAATCTGAAGTCATTCAATTTTCCTAACCTTTACAAGTACTTTCCAAGATGACAATTTATCATATATCACTGCAAACACGTAGCACAGCTCAAAATGCAATACCCAAACAATATGCAATGAGACTTCTAACGTCAAGCACCCTCTGAAACACAACTGAAAGAGATACTTTGTCATTGTGATCAAATCACAGTATCACTGCCTCTTCACACACACACCTCATTCTTTTAGGGGGCAGGGAGAATGGAACTCAAGTGCACTAGGCCAACTAATCCCTTTTATTTGGAGAAAGCCATTCTCCATACTACAGCTCAGCAGAACTATCACCAGCCATGACAGCAAAATGTAGCCATAATGAAACCTCAATATTTGCCAATCATAAAGTACATAGCAAACATGTAAAGAGGGAGACATTCAGGCAGCTAGAAGCTTTTCAACAGCACAAACTCTAATATTAAAAAAGCAGAACCCAAGTTCAAAGCCACTGCAGAAAGCCCTTCCACAGGTTTTAGAGAATCACTGGTAAGTTGCTCACAAAGCAAATCTTTCCAATTCACTTTTAATAAACTTTAGTTTTCCCTTCTCCTTAAGAAATAAAATCAGCAGAAGATAGTAATTAGATTCTTGTCCCAAAGCAGTATGAGCTGTATGAGTACTTCAGTCCTCTAAATATCTAACTTAAACATGCCCATTGCATATATATTAAGGGGGAAGAGGAAGTTTCACCAGCAAAATTCTTTGTTCTCACATGCATTATGTTATTCTTTTCTTGCTAGGAGGCAGATTTCACTAAAGCAACACACACTGTCAGCAACAGAGGCACTGAAGCCATGGGTATGAACCACTTTACAGCAAACAGATACAAAATTCCACTGAACCTTGAGCAATATGTTAACACCTGTGTGAATTATCTTCCAATTTCATTCATTTTCTTCTTCAAATATTTGTTTACAGTTGTTGAGACCCTGCAAAAATTATGCCTTGGTTATAATTGGTATGAACTTCTAGTTGAAAAACATCCCTCAAAACAAGCACCAACCTCTGCAACTGCCAGGGTCCCAATCTCTGATGCCTGGTTCAGTCAGAGCAAAGTGGAAAAGAAATGCTGTGAAGTAAAACCCCAATGGCATTCATACAGCTCGACACTAAGTTATGCTGACTCTGGCTCTGCTAAAAGCTCTCTGTTAAACCTCCCATGTCACACAAAGTCCACTTCTAGTTTTAACACCAGAAGGAACATGATGTGCACTTTTCTTCCTACAACGTTAAAGTGTTCATAGTCTAAGTATCTTCATACACTCAATCAATATGAGAAAGAAAATCAACAGTGTCTGTAAACTAGCCTGTATGCACCAGAAGTCTCAGTGCTCTGTTTTTACAATTCCCAGGCACCATAAACTAGTTCAAAATGGTGTTTTTTCACATCCTTGAGACCCTTAAGTAATTAATGTAAAATCCATACAAGTTCTGCAGCCTTGTGCATAACAAACAAAGTAGTAAGATGTTATCTGTCAGGCAGATATTACTCTAAAAAGACTTTTTTAAGGCAGAAAGAGCAAAAGAAATTTACACAAGAGGTTTTGAGTTCATCATTATTCTGTTTAACTACAGGTCAGTGACAGTCTAGGAGATCACTAACTACACTCAGTAAATGCAGAAAATAACATCTTACGTCCAACGAGAGTAAAACAAATTATCCATTTGTCATTAAGAGCAAGGACTTGAGCTCTTCCTTCTCATCCTATGCTTTCACTACAACGCCAAGCGTTAGTAAAACGTCTGAAGTAGAAATTGGATGTGAAGAAGATGGTAATTCGTTGCAGCAGCAGCACCAGACTCAGTTTCGCACCACGGCTGCTTCTCTTCTCCATTCCCAGGTGCCTGCCAGGGGTACCCGCAGGCCGCCCGTGCCCCTAATGGCTTTGAGCACAGCTGCTCCCCTAGCAAAACCCATTGAGGCACACTACAGAAACATTTATCTTCCCCGCACCGATCCCGCCCAGGTCTCCCGACCTCGCAAAACACACAAATGAACGAACTCAAAGGCCAAGGCTGCTGCGGAGCGCCCGGACCGTATCGATCAGGCAGCACACGGAGCCCCCGGGGCGGCAGCCG